ACTGCAATTTTGGAACTGGACATTTAAGGAAGAACAAAAGACCAAGATGGCTCCCGTCACTCTTCCCCATAGCAGTTGAAGTAGATAAATTTAAGGTGGACCAGAATTCTANTGAAAAAAGTGACTGATGACGATTTTCACACTTAGCGACCATTTTCACACGTAGCAACCGTTGCAGCATCCTCATGGTCACGTGATCAATTATATTTATATAATTATATAATATAATATAATTATATATTATATTATATAAATATAATATATATTTATATATTATATTTGTAAATTGTAGTTATGTTGAAATAAAAAAAATATTACAATATTATTTTTGCGTTGTATGAAAAATTTTGTTGCTCCGTATAAGATTTTTAATCAAGCCCCCCCCCCCCCGGTCAAAGGTGTCCCTCTTTACCAATCTGAAAATCTGGTCACCTTACCCAAGGTGGGACTAGAATTCACCGTCTCCTGGTTTCTATTCTGATGCCTTAACCACTGCATCAAGCTAGTCTGCACTATTTGCTTATTGAGTACTTTTTGTGGAAATGGAAAACAGAAGCTGTTTTCAGGAAACAGGGTATGAAAGCATGAAGAGAAGGTGAAGACCTATGCTTCACCCCTCTTGCACTCTCATTCTCCTTTATGGATAGTTCCCAGTCCAATTGAGCAGTTGTACCTTTTGCAGCCTTTTCTTCAGATTTCTCTGTCAACATGTTGACATTAATGGCAGAGGGGTCAGGAAACAGCACATGCCTGAGGCTTACATGAAGAAATCTAGCACAGCAATAACTATGTTGGCTTGAAAGAATGAGAAATGCCAAGCAATCAAAAATGATCTTTTTTTTTGCAATGCCCATATACTGTACTTACATGTTTTTTAAAAAGCTTGTGAAACTCAAAGTTTCGTCCACCCTGGATTTATTTGAAAGGAACTATTTGGAAATGTTGTACTCCTGAGACCTGTTTACTGTTTTCTGAATTCCGACTTTTCTCTTCTTCTATGTATGTGTGATGAACACAGCAGTGTATGTTGATTTTACTTTCATGAGATATTCACATATTTGTTCACCTGCTCATCCGATGTGAATGCCTATTAATTTTCTAAAGCAATTTGGTTACCAAACTCTGGGCCACAGATTCACCCAACTAAACAACTCAAAAATACTCATTTGTCTGAAGTTCTGTCATAGCTGATGTCCATGGATAAGTGGGAATATAGTAGTCTGGACTGCCTGAGAAATAGAAGGAATAGCATTGGATTGATCCTTCCTTAGCAATAGCAATAGCAGTTAGACTTATATACCGCTTCATAGGGCTTTCAGCCCTCTCAAGGCAGTTTACAGAGTCAGCATATCGCCCCCAAAAATCTGGGTCCTCATTTTACCCACCTCGGAAGGATGGAAGGCTGAGTCAACGGTGAGCCGGTGAGATTTGAACAGCCAAACTGCAGCTAACAGTCAGCTAAAGTAGCCTGCAGTGCTGCACTCTAACCACTACGCCACCTCGGCTCTCTCCTTCCTTCCTTCCTTCCTTCCTTCCTTCCTTCCTTCCTGCTATCACTTGTGTTTTTCTTTTTCTTTTATGTGCACATTTTGTTCCCCACCTACAGTATGCCACTCTTTTTGCTTTATATGTGACTGAAGTCCCATCAGTGATCTCACCATATAACTGGGCCCACTACTCCACACATGCCTTGTGTGGAGGACCTGATACTCAGCACTTCACTGCCATTTACTTCTGAACCTTAGCTGCACCTTTGGGTACTTTTACTGGGGAGAAAACCTATAGGAGCGCAAAGAAGCTGTCAACATTTTGCCAGATCTGCTCCTTTGTGGGAAGTTATCATCCAGCCCTCTCCCAGAAAAATGAAATATCCTAGGAAATATTGAAAAGGCAGAATATTTCTCTGGATGTGAGGAGAAATTTTGTTTTAAAAGACAAAATAGTTGCCTGTAGCTTCCTGCCCATCCCCACTGTTAATGGGCCAGGCTAGCCCACTTTACATAATAAAGACTTCTCCACTGCAGCCCCAGGGGGGGATGGGAGTAAAGGCATGATAATGTTGGAACTTTACTCAACTGACCACAAGGCATCTGAGAACTCATCACAGCCTAGAGAATAAGAGCCGAGGTGGTGCAGTGGTTAAATGCAGCACTGCAGGCTACTTCAGCTGACTGCAGTTCTGCAGTTCGTCTGTTCAAATCTCACCGGCAAAGGGTTGACTCAGCCTTCCATCCTTCCGAGGTGGGTAAAATGAGGACCCGNCAGGGGAAGAGTAGGAGAGAAAGCAGGAGTGGAAAGGGAAGACGAGAAGGAGAGAGGAAGGGGAAGTAGAGAAGAGAAAGATGACAGAGGGAAGAAAGGAGGTAGGGAGGGGGAGGAGAGAGGGAGAAGAAAGTGATGGATGAGGTACAAATATATTGTATGGAGAGCAGAAGAGCCAATAATTGTTTTGGGGAGTTGATGGCAAGGTGAATTGATGTAAACATTTAATAATACAAATTGATGTTGTCTATGTAATAGTATACATGTGATTATATGCTATGAAAATGGAAAAATAAAAAACTTAATATGAAAAAAAAAGTTTCTTCCAACATATTAATAACAAGAAAAAATTCAAGGAAACAGTAGGTTCACTAAAGAGAGAAGATGGCAAGGAGTAACTGGCAGCAGGGAGAAAGCAGAGCTGATTAACTCATTATTTGCATCAATCTTCACGCAAAAAGAAATTGTAGCCCAATGTACCCAAAAAGCTACTGTAAAAGACAAACTAGAAATAAAAACTAAAATAAGCAAGAAAATGGTAAGATAACACCTATCTGACGATATATATAAATCACCAGGACCTGACAGTTTATACATCCCAGAATTCTGAAAGAGCTGGCAGATGTTATCTCAGAACCACTGTACCAAAACTTTCAAAAATCCTTGGGGCACGGGAAGTATCTGAGGATTGGAAAGGGATGGTATGGTTCCTATCTTCAAGAAAAAGGGGGGAAAGAGACCCAGGAAAACTACAGACCAATCAGTCTAACCTGGGAAGATCCTGGAAAAAATAATAAAAAACCAGATCTGTGAACAACGAAGCAAATAAAGTTTTAACTAGTAGCCAGCATGGGTTTGTTAAAAACAGATCATGCTAAACAAATCCTATTTCATTTTTTGATAAAGTCACTAAATTAATAGACCAACAAAATGCTGTGAACATAGTATAGATTTCAGTAAGGCATTTGACAAATCTACTTCTTGGTAAACTAGAAAAATGTGGAATAGACAACATCACCACCAGATGGATTGTAGCCAGCTGGCAAATTGTACTCAACAAGTAGTCCTTAATGGTACTACATCTACATGGAAAGAAGTAAGCAGTGGGATACCACAAGGCTCCATCTTAGGTCCAGTACTCTTCAATATCTTTATAAATGACTTAGATGAGGGAATAGAAGAGAAAAATCATCAAATTTGCAGATGATACTAAACTGGCAGGAACAGTCAACACCCCAGAAGACAAACTCAGGATCCAAAAAGATCTTGACAAACTTGAACAATGGGCTCTATCCAACAAAATGAATTTTAATGTGGAAAAAAGCAAAGCTTTACATTTAGGTAGGAAAAAATCAAAGGTATAATACAGATGAGGAGAGACCTGGCTCAAAAACAGTAACGGTGAGAGGGACCTTGGAGTCCTAGTGAATGATCATTTGAATATGAGCCAGTAATGTGCAGCAGCAGCCAAAAAAGATAATACAATCCTGGGTTGTATAAACAGAGGCATAAAATCAAGATCAGGTGAAGTATTAGTGCTGCTTTACAAAACCCTAGTAAGACCACACCTGGAATACTGCAACCAATTTTGATCACCATACTACAAAAAAGGTGTTGATACTTTGGAAAAAGTTCAGAAAAAAGCAACTAAGATGATTAAAAGTCTGGAGACTAAACCTTATGAAGAATGGCTGCAGATTTTGGGTCTGGTTAGTCTAAAGAAAAGAAGTAGGGTTGACATGATAGCAGTATTTCAGGGGCTGCCACAAAGAGGAGGGGGTCAAATTATTCTCCAAAGCACCAGAGGGCAGGATAAGAAATAATAGTTGGAAACTGATTAAAGAGAGAAGCAACTTGGAATTAAAGAGAAACTTCCTAAGAACAATTAACCAGTGGAACAGCTTGCTTTCAGAAATCGTGGGCGCTCCATCACTGGAGACTTTTAAGAGAAACTGGACAGTCACTTGTCTGAGGTTGTATAGGTTCTCCTGCTTGAGCAGGGGGCTGGACTAGAAGACATCCAAGGTCCCTTCCACTCTATTCTATTTCTATATTTATATTTTATATATGCAGAGTATATTTATATACTACAGACCATATTGGTGCCAGCGAGGATTAAAATTCTTGATTCTTTTAAAAATCATAATATCCTGATACACAGATTATAATTTTGAATTTTAATATTTTGCATTGTGAGTTAAAGGCCCAGGGCTCCCTAGCCAATCATGCATTCCATGAAGTGTTGTCATGGCTGGTACCATTCAGGACCAAGCATTGCATACAAGAAACAATGATTAGCTAAAAGTTAAATCATTTTTCTCTTTATTAATCCCATTGCCAGAGAGACTTGAAACTGCCAACATGAAAAACACTAATATCGACTTTTAGCTCATTCAAAGGAAATATTTATTAACACACCATATGAAGCTGATTTTTAACGATTTTTAAAATATTCTCAGATAACTAAAAGTAGAATAGGCTTTTCAGGTGTATGAAAAATCAAGCTCTTTATTTACTGTAGGAGTCGGATCACCTACTTCCCTATAGCAATGGATTCATCCCGAATCATACAGCCAGGACCCCCTAACCGGTTGTAACCGGTTGTGCAGTGAGTGACGGCTTACTGCCATGGGTTGCTGACATTCGGGAACAAGGGCACCGCATTCATCTTAAAGAGACCTCAGGAGAAGAGCCCAGCCTTCGCATTCCTCCTCCGTTGGAGCCACCGTCCCACCCACCTGACAATGGGTCCCAGCTGCAGAATGTGAAGCAACAATACGAGCGGCCTGTCCCGGCTGAGGTCGCGGTGGATGAAAACGAGGCTGAACTGGACCAGGATGCAAGGCAAGAGAGCGAAGAGGAGCGTCAGCGACTGCCAAATGCGGTCTCCCGCCGAGCGGTAGGTGCTGCTTAGGTACAAGGCGATCGCCGTTTCGGCCACGAAGAGGAACAGCGAGACGAGTACGGAGCCCGGGAATTTCATCGCTCCTTTTTTGTGGCCTGCCCGCCGGAATGCCAATCGGCGGCTCAGAGGGCTGCAAGGGAAGGCGGATGCCATGGCAGAGAGACCCACAGCGGAAGCCTCCTGATGCCCATCTCCGTCTTCTGCAGCGGCGCTTCAGTTTCTTGGGCGAAGAGTAGCGACGGGCGCTTGCAATGCATGGCCGCTAGGAGTCAGGACTGAGCTGGCCGCAGCACTCGCCGAGAGCGACGGGCATCTGAGTTCGGCTTTTTGGCCTAGGGGATGAACAAAAGAACCCCTCTGATCAGAGCTCGACTCGTCTCTTTGGAATTTGGAAACAGTGAAATCTGTCTACATTGGATACAAAGATGAAGGTATCCTGTATTTTGCCACATGCTGGAGTTTGCCCCTACCTCAAATCAAGTCCAGATATACCCCATGTTAATTTGTACAGGCAAAGGAAGAGGTGGCTTTAAAGCAGCCGTAAAGTGAGATTTGGACATTAAGTGTGAAACCTACTGAGTCAGGCTAGACAGCCTCTTAGAACCCCTTTACTTCTATATTAGAAGTCACATAGACAAGAGTTGGAATTTGAGGTAGACAGGGACAGTTCGAAGTTACTTAAAGGAAGTGTCCCCATTCACTAACCACAGGATGTTCTCGCCAACGTCCCTATGT